CCCCACAAAATTACAATTTACGGGAAGACTATTCTCCATATATCGTCTTTGTATTGTTGCTGTTTTTTGTATATATATATATAACTAGTAAGTTATCTCAAATGACTTGACTCACATTATAGTCCACCAATAGAATGTTAACCAATCAGAAGACGTAGAATATTCAATCCGTCCTGTAAAAAGGCGGCCATTTTTGTTCACTATCCGAATGTCCAGTCCAGCTTGTCAGACGAAGAGAACCAGAATGGCGAACTATGCTCTGCTACTTTTACCAAAATATCCACTGCTAACCTGAACAACGCTTTCCTGCTGTCTTCGAAATATTCACTGCTAACCTCTGGATTCTATACTCGAAGACGACCGTCATCATGAATAACATATATATATATAGGGTGAGTTCAAATTAATTGGCTCATAATTCTTGACAACTAAAACAATCACTGACAATGCTTACTTACAAATGCTTGAAGAACTTGCCATTGATAACATAGACTACAAATCAAATGAGCGCCGCGGTGTATTTCCAAGAGGATGGTTCACTGTCTCATTTTCCTCGTAACGTTTCGCGGTTGTCTCGACAAATTTTCAATAATCATTGAACAGGTCGTGACGGACCGTTGATATCCCCACCACATTCCCCTGATGTGAAATCATGTGACATTTTTTATGGGGTGTGATAAAGTGTCGACTATATAGTAAAAAAATTAGAGATATCGAAGAACTCAAGAACAGAATAAAAGGTGTAATATCAAACATTCACCGTGAAATGTGTCTCAAGGCAGTAAATTGTATTTTTGTGCATCAGTCTTGCTGGTGGGCAAGTTGAGACTATATATATATATATATATATATATATATATATAAAATTATATGATTGGTGTATTCCGAATAAATTCCAATAACCAACAATTACTATTCTTAAATGATTGCTCAATACAGAGTAGAGATAATACAATTATTTATTTAAAAATTATAACATAAATATGTTATAAAATCCCTACAAAAATAGCCATTTTGTTTCAACACCTCTGGTGTCTTATCAAGTGATGATGTTGAATGTAGATTGTAGAATAAATGTTTTAAAAGGTTCAAATTAATTAACCACCTCTCGTAAGGGGAAACGCTGTTATATGAGCTGAAATGACCAATGAAAATACAAGTATAGGAAAATTCAAAAAACTTGACAATGAAGTAAGTTTATAATAACTTTCAAATGTTTTAAAGTTGGGTTTATACTAAAATCCAATGTATTCTAACTAATAAATATTGTACGATAAAATTTGAAATTAAAAATTACCCATTTCAAAAATGTAAATTTAATCTATATTAAATTGAAATTTATTATGACATCTTGCGAAAGACAATACAAACACAATCAGATTATAATACATAAGCACGTAGACATATTTAGATATATACACACACAAAAATGTGACGAGACAGGAAATATTTGCACGACGTTTAACAAAAAAATAAAAATAAAAAACAAACCACAGACATAAACAATGAAATATGCATGCAAGTTACTATACACAGGCATGGAAAAAGACACGTACATATACCCACATACATTGACAGAGACACTCTGATATAACACTCAAGAAATATTCGAGACTGAAGATGTTATTAAACGAATTCTAACCACATATTAAAAATATAACTTATACGGGCAAAATATATATATATATATATATATATATATATATATATATATATATATATTAAAATATAAAGTAAACCCAGGGTCCATGTCTAAATCGGCGTAGTCTAAATTTATATATATATATATATATATATATATATATATATATATATATATATATAACTCACAACTACATGTATATACATATAATTTATATATAAATATGTGTGCGTCCATGTGTGTGTCTGTGTATGTACGCAAGTGTGACTTACTACACACATGCACTTATTTTTAAGGAAGTTTGTTAAATGAAATAGGCATTTCATCTGTCATTTTATCCATCGTTTCCCACGCCTTGTCGGATATTTCACACATTTTTTCGTGATTACTTCTCCACTAAATATATTAACATTTATGTCCTTTGGTTGAAATCACTTGTGTCCGAATTTTCTCGGACATTTTGTGTTGCACCTCGTATATTTCTAACCACGGACAAAAATGCAAGAACAAAGAAATATTGGGAGTGATAGTAACATTGGCATTCCTTGACTCCCCCTCCTATCCTGGCAGGCTCGCATATTAACATGGCATTCATAATGGGATCTTAAATAAGAACGGGCCTATCACTTTCAAGAATTTTTCAGATCTAATGAATTGGCGAAAGAATGTTGGTAACATCTGTCGCGCCGTGTTGGATAATTCCGTTATAAGATTAGAGAAAGGGGAATAGAGTTTGGAAGGTAACGATCAGTGGATATGGGGCAAGGGATACATATATGAAAGGAGGGAAAATTAAGGGGACAGAGGCAGATTTTGAAGGAACATTCTAATTCGACGGGGTTTGGTCAAACTCATCAGCTAAATGATTATCGTGTCAAAAAATGAGAGAAATTTGAAATGGAGAGGAAGGTGAGAAGATGAAGTAAATGAGAAAAAGAAATAGGAATGAAGAAGAAAAGGAAAATAAAACAAATGTGAGAGAAAGAAGGAAACTAAAAGAAAAAGAAAAGAAAAAGAAAAGGGCGGGAGAATAAAGGGACTAAAGGAAAAAGAAAAGAAAATGAAGTAAAAGGAAAAAAAATGAAGAGAAAGAGAAATGGGGAAAGAAGGAAAGAAAAATTCAGAAAATAAGGAAGACAAAAGGAAAATAAAGAAAAATAATAAAAACAAAAAGTGAAGTAAAAGCTAAAAAATAAAGAAAATGAAGAAAAAGAAGAATAAAATAAATTATACAATGAGGAAAAATGATGAAGAAAAATATAAAACGATGAATAAGGTTCTAAGAATATTTGCCGTAAATATTTTTACTGTAGGAAATCTCACCTCAGGAATTTTCGCCGTAGAAAACATTGTCGTATATGATTTTTGCCGTAAGACAATTTCGCCGCATTTTTTGTTAATATGCGAAGTACCTTGTTATGTATATCTGGCTCACATTATTGTTACTTCGATTTAAACATTAATAATCGAATTAAAAAACCCTACGTCATTCATCCTCCTCAGTGTGGAGTGCAAAAATTTCTACTTTACACAAGAACCTACGTAATTTCATATTTCAGATTTAACATTAAACTTTCTGTTAACATAATATCAGTCTGTCAATAATTCTCATTAAAGCAATAAATCTTATTTCAAACAAACTTACAACTTGAATACGTAACCAACTTTAATTTAAAATATCTGATAAAGGAAAGATAACTCTTTCAGACACTGAGTAAGTATTTTGAAATGTACAAAAATTATTTGCTTACAGAAACTGTTTTCCATTCACTATAAATACCTAAATATTGAAATACACTTTCGTATATTTGAATATACATTATAAAAACGCATCAACTTTTGCTTCAAAGTATAATCGATATTCAACTCATCAAACACAAAAACATTTAAACAATTTAAAATACCACCTTGTTATATAATTAAAATATTCTTGATAACAAGGTATTTCGCATAATAAATGGAACATTACTCCAAAAGGGACGTTCAAGAAAATCGTGAAAAAATGCGGCGAAATTGTCTTACGGGAAAAATCCTATACGGCGAAGTTTCCTACGGCGAAGTTTCCTACGGTAAAAATGTTTACAGTGAATGTTGCGGATACGGATAAATAAATAAAAACAAAAAATGAAATAAAAAGTAAAAAGGTTGAAGAAAATAAACAAAAGTTAAATGAAGTTAAAATGTAAAGTAAAAAGACTAAACAGAAGAAACGGTAGAAAAAATAAAAATAAAAAAGGAAAAATATTTTGAAAAATGAATAGAAATAGAAATAATGAAAGAAAAGAAAAGATAATTAGTAATAACGAATGAAAATTGAAATGAAGCAAAGAGAATGTAAAAAAATGAATCGAAAGAAAAATGAAGAAAAATAAAAGTAAAATGAATCAAATCGAAAAAAATACAGAAATCTAAATGAAAGAGAAACCAAGACAACAGTATTTCTAGATTAGAAGAAGCAAGAGAAGAAGGAGCAAGACTCTCAAATTTGAACACAATTGAATGTCATATCCTTCAAACTAGGGTATTCACGTCTCTTCACAGCTTCCTAGCTTATACTGACTGAATTCCAAAAACAGGAATGGAATTGTGGGCCTCTTCAAAGAATTATTTTTTTCTCAGTGAATGGTTTCCACGTATAGAGGAAAATCCACGTCCGACAGTTTAACCCATAGTTATTTGCGAAAAAATATATATAGATATATATTTCAAGGGTATAGTTTTGAATGTTAAGGGTTTCACCCCTTTTTATACAAGTGGACTTGCTCAGTGTGTACTTGTACTGATGCTGGGGAATACCCGGAAGTGATACAGGGAGAGAGTGAGAGTGTGAAGTATCCACTTTGTAGGAGTCACAGTTGCGAGCACGTAGACTCAGAAGGAAGTCCTACTTCGATACTGAATTTCCCAGACTATATATATATTATTATTGCTACTAACCGCATTTCTGGATCTACTAACCTTATTACAAATTGTATTATTACATCGAGACATTTATTTGCTATATTTCATTCCTGCGTTCATTGGAGACCGCATTCCATCCCGGAATCCACAACAATATATATATATATATATATATATATATATATATATATATATATATATATATATATATATATAGGTAAAAAATCTTTTAGTATATAATGCAAGTGAATCATAATAATATAGAGAGCATATAAATTATATAGAATAGAAATCCAAATTTACCTCAATAGAATAGCTATTTCAACCCCAAAAAGATGGTCTATATTAGCATTATCAACTCAAAGTGTGAAGAAATGTTTTATTCTTTCACACTTCTGAGTTGACAATGTCAATATATGTCTTCGTGTTGGTCACAATATTTATTCGAATGAGGCAAATTTGGATTTCTTTTGAATGAATATATATATATATATATATATATATATATATATATATATATATATATATATATATGGTAGTAATCCGTTGGTATAATCCAGCCGAGTCCTATAAACAAAACCTAATTTGAGATATGTTAAAATTGACTCACAAAAGAACACTCGAAGCTTATTTTCATTAAACAGAACAAATTTTATTTACAATTGGAATTAAGATACCTTTAGTTAATGATCATTTTCACCTATGAATTTTGACCTCCGATATATGGACGAATTTAATACACCAGTAATTCTCAATTATCTCACTTTTCATTTCAAAGTTATCTCTTGATATTTTTTATTCACGTTTTCGTTAATTTTCGCGGATTCCCGTTGTATCTATTTTTTTTCCGTGTGACCATTAGGATGTAGGTCAGCTCATCGATCTCCCCTTCTCTCTCCCTACCCAGGCTCTCCTACCACCATAATATAATTCCTGTAACGGTGCCTCCTTCTGCAATATCGCCCACCATATCCCTGTCAACGTCCTCCCCCTCAACTGATACCTAAAACTGTTTGTGAAGTCCTGCGAATTTCAAAATTAAAATTTCTGGGTGAAAATGGTCATTAATTAAAGGTATGCTAATTACAGCTGCAAATTAACACACACATATATATATATATATATATATATATATATATATATATATATAACACAGAAGACACATCCCTGTTCATATACATTTGGTTGGTAATTCTTGATTTGGAAGCAAAATTGACAACTGGGCAGAGTCTCAAAACCAACCACACCATTCCTCACTAAACAGCAATATATAATCACATTCACTCTTTATTCGGTTCATAACCAAATATTTGTACTTCTGTGATGTGGTGTGTTTATGCTCATATATATTGAGAAATACCAAATAAATGATTTATTAACTATAAGTTTTTACAAGAAATGGATACGAGTGGAAAGCGTTTAGCGTGTGGCTTTACTTAATTAAGTCTGTGCCCCAGATATTGCTACAGGCAATCGAACTACCCAGGAATCGCATCAACGGATATCACCAGGATCTCTTGTGGTATGAAAGACATAACTTGTATGTATCTTTCAAGTTCTTCCAAAGTCTTAACTCGCTATAATAGACTTGCTCCTTTAGCCATCTCCCCACTCAAAAAAAAATGTCAAAGGGTGTTATGTCAGGACTCCTGGTTGGCCACTCACACAGAATATAGGGAGTTAATTTTCAATTGTGCTACATATCTATAATAACTGTTTTTCTTTTTCTTAGGATAGACAGATATTGACGTCACAGTATTGCATAGTTTCATCAGTATTCAGTAGGATTATGTACCATACAGCAATCCACACCTTCTGTCTCTGACTTTTATATGTTTTTCAGCTAACGCTTTAAAAATACCGATCATATTTTTTTTCAATCAATGACCAAAGCTTTTGAATAATAAAAAAAAAACGCAAACACTAACTAAAAAGGAAAGTACTAACTAATCAACATTTGCAAAGTAACTGAACTGTTACTTCATGGATCATACTTCTTTAATAATTCTTCTCCGACTTCTACAATAATAACCACTTCAAATCTACGGTCAACTGATATCCTCGTGATACAAACGTCTTACTTCCCGCCTTATGTTTACTTGAATATTCTGACATGTAATTTTGTTGAGTATTTTTTTTTTTCTGCTACAGTGTAATGTTCTTCTTTTCTGGACTAAATAACTAAATTCTGCTGGTTGAGAGCGCTTTCGGTTAAACAGTTAACCATTTGAATCACTATCACTCTATTTTAAGTGGCTCTTGAGCCTTGTATTAGGTAAACTAAAGTAAAAATAATTACCCCAAAAAGTGCCAATCTACACCACTGGACTCAAAGAAAATCACAACTTTTATATTTTCTGTTTTTGTTTTTTGTTTTGTTTTTCTGTTAGATTGATGACTTAAAATTGACTAGGAATCTATTCCTCCCTGGGAACTGCGTAGCTAACCGATCTGGTTTCCCATAGCCAAATCTGTCTGATTCATAGATGAGACACTAACAGGTCTCAGTGTATCCGATTGTAAGTGCAACTAAATGGTGTCTACACATTCGCTAAAACATCAGAACTCCTGGACTGGAGCCTCGCCAATGGATGAATTTTAATGCCATATCCAAGGCATAGTGAAACTGAAGAAAAATTACGTGTTTCAATAGACACATTAACACTAGATTTTTCATTCAATCAATTCACTTGCCGCCAGGAGATAATAACGCTAAGGTGCATGGTGCTGCTGGGAGTGAAAGATAGTGAAAAGAATTTAGAATGAACCGGAAACCAAATACTAAACAGGGAGTAAGGCATAAACCTCTACTTCTGTTGAAAAAAAACAGGGAAGACAGTGGACCAGACAATAAGCAAACCTATCTAATCTTATTGAGGAGGGGAACATTTTAGTATAAAAATATAAATAATTAGTAAATAAAATTTCAATGTTTGGACGGAGACGGTTGAAATATCTGTCTATATTTCTGAGATGTGGTATTATGCCCACTGTTTACATTATTCGGACTATTTTCCTCATCATTGTTGCCATAGTTATTACAACGTTTCGCTCTGGACTTCTTCAGGTGGTTGGAAATGTCGAACTGAACCCTTTATTTCACTCACTGGGGTAGACTGTTCTATTTCCACGTGCCATGCCTAATGAATGTCAATTAACAGTTATCACCTATTAATTTCCCTCTGAAAGTTCTCCACCGCCTTAACCGGGTATTGAACTCACAGTCTTTGGGTCCTGTCACTGGATCTAACCAACACCTGTGTCAGGTGTTCTTAAGGACATTTGTGTATGGATTTCTGGGTATTATAAAATTAATGTCTTCAGCAACCATCTTTTAATAGTGCTCATATTGCATATTAGATCCAGATTCTAGCACTTAATCCGCGAAATCCAAATATTACTAAAATGAAACCTAACCACATAAGACCACACTCCGTTTATACGAAACTGCCATGTACAGTAGTTTTTTTTGTTTTACTTAAATTCGCAGTTTGGCTGGACCCTAGTTTTCCATTACGACTGTCTAGTAAAATGGCTTGCTAATCCTGTTGCAGTCACCTAATCAGGCACATATATGTTTGTTTAATACACACATAACCATTTTATGCTTCATAATCCGATGTGATCAAAAAGGCCAATACTCTTAAATCCGTGGACACAATGACATGTTACTTCGATCTAGCACAGCCATCGATAGCTACCGAACGGTTTCGTCAACACAATTTCACCCAAAAGACTTGAGTCAATACGGTTTATGGTTTTCCTATACTTCCCAAAATTTCCGAACTCGAGAAACGCAATATTCGTAGAGATATTACCTTGAATTTATTTTTTTTTATATCAAACATTGTCAGTTGTTTTTAATTTTAACTTGTATTTCTTTCATTGTTGATCGCTCTAAAATTAAGGGCGGAGTCGTTGGTGTATAGAGCAATTGAAATTAATATGAAATTAATGCGAGTCCAAATTAATAATAATTTATATATCGAGTCTAATAATAAAATTCACGAATTCTGTTATCTTTCGTGAGATACAAGTTTGGTATTTGGAGGGAAAAGAGACTTCCAGAGATTAATTGAAAAAAAAAAACACAACAAAAACACAAAACAAGCTAAGATTATTATTATTATTAGTAGTAGTAGTATTGTTATTATTAGTAGTAGTATTAATAATAATATTATTACTTTATTAGAGCAGCTGAATAAACGATAGGAATGGCTGAAAGGTGGGAGGGAATTTCGAATAGAAAAATGATAAAGAGAGAGAAGGGCGACGTTGGTATTAAAATAAGAAAGAAATGGAAATTATAAGAAAAGGCAAATAGGTAAATCAAAGAATAAATAGAAATCGCTTACAGGTGACATAAAAGAACGGTTGGTAAAAGAGGAGGTGGAGAAAGAAGAAGTATTATTTTCATTGCAGTGTGGAAAAATATGGTAGAAGAAAGAAAGAATGAATTAGAGACAAAAAGAGAGGAGGAGGAGGAGAATAAGAATTTTTCTTAGGAATGAAATAAAAATGAATAAAGCCATTGAAGATTAAAGCTTAATAACGACTGAGAAGAAGAAGAAGAAGAAGGAGAAGAGGGAGAAGAGGAAGAAGAAGAATGAGGAGAAGGAGAAGAGGAAGAAGAAGGAGAAGAAGAAGAAGAAGAAGAACAACAACAACAAGATTAAATAAATAAGAAAAAGAACAAGAAAAAAAAGCAAAAGAAGTTTCCATAAGGAAAGATAAGGCAAACGAATAATTTTATTTAGGATTTACATAAGAGAGAATGAGACGAAGCAGATGAAGAAGAAGAAGAAGAAGAAGAAGAAGAACAACAACAACAACAACAACAAGATTAAATAAATAAGAAAAAGAACAAGAAAAAAAAGCAAAAGAAGTTTCCATAAGGAAAGATAAGGCAAACGAATAATTTTATTTAGGATTTACATAAGAGAGAATGAGACGAAGCAGATGAAGAAGAAGAAGAACAACAACAACAACAACAAACGAATAGTTTTATTTAGACTTTAAATAAGAAAGAATGAGACGAAGCAGATGAAGGAGAAGAAGAAGAAGAAGAGTTAACAATGAGAGATGATAGGAAATATAGAAGAAAAAACTATGAATAAGAGACCAAAAATATTAGAAGAAAAGGTAGAAGGCGAAAAAAAAATAAAGAGAAAAATAAAAAGTGTCAATGAAGAGCGATATAAAAGGGGGATAAGCAAAATGAAGAAAAGGAATAAAAATTAATAAGTAGAGATAAAAAGAAAAAGATGAAGAAGGGAAAAATAGAGAGAAAGAAACATCATTCAATTAGGCAGATGAAGACAAAATTGTGTGGAATTTAATTAGAAAAAGGATGCTGAAAAGTAAGAATGAAAAAATGGAAAACGAGAAAGAAATAAGAATTGAAAATTGCCCGGGATCAGTCAGAAGTGGAAAACATGCAGAAGAGATTAATACATTAATAATTGGTTATACTTGAACAAATGGTCCCACCGAAATATCCTGACACCTCTGAAATATGCCGTTGCGCGCCGGGTCACACGAAGTTAAAAATTCTTTGCCCCCGTACCATTCTCCTGACATTGCGTTTTCACCCCATCTCCTCACTATTTTTCTCTCTCCTCTCTCTATCTTTCTCTCTCTCACACACACACACAACACCATGCGCTTTCCTTCTTTTTTCTCACTCTACTTTTACTTCTCACTCTATTTGATTATTTTTCATGCATTCAGTTTTCACGCATGCGCACTGATACTCATGAAGAAATCTATGAAAAACTATTCACCTCACTTAAATAGTCATTAATTATAGTCAAGAAATCAATAGCGCTATTATTTATTTTTTTTCATAATATTTCTAATTCTTTCTTTCTCTTTTTTATTTTCTGTTCTCCTTTGCGACTCCGTCGTCCGTTTTCATTTCCGCATATGTCTTTGCCTTCTCATTTCCTTATTTCCCTTTTTCTCTTTCTTTATTTACACAGTCTTGAATCATCCTTACTCCCTTGCTATTCCATTGCAAATTAGGAACTTTTCATTGGGACATCTTTCCAAGAATCGCTTCCCCGATCATTAGAGTCTTAAAATCTCAAATTAATGGGCAGTCGTTGTTATGTAGATCTCCCTCCTTCAATAACCCTCTGCCGTGATTGCTAGTTGGGCTTCGTATTTGATAAAGACAAAAAAAAAATCATAATTTCTCTATGTTAGCCTTTCTTTCTTTTACGTAATTTGTGTATGGATTTCTGGGTATTATAAACTTAATGTCTTCAGCAACCATCTTTTAATAGTGCTCAAATTGCATATTAGATCCAGATTCTAGCACGTAATCCGCGAAATCCAAATATTACTAAAAAACCTAACCACATAAGCCCACACTCCGTTTATACGAAACTGCCATGTACGATATTTTTTTTGTTTTACTTAAATTCGCAGTTTTCCTAGTTTTCCATTACGACTGTCTAGTAGAATGGCTTGCTAATCCTGTTGCAGTCACCTAATCAGGCACATATATGTTTCTTTAATACACACATAACCATTTTATGCTTCATAATCCGATGTGATCAAAAAGGCCAATACGCTTAAATCCTTGAACACAATGACTTGTTACTTCGATCTAGCACAGCCATCGATAGCTACCGAACGGTTTCATCAACACAATTTCACCCAAAATACTTGAGTCAAGACGGGTTATGGTTTTCCTGTACTTCCCAGTTTCCGAACTTGTAAAACGCAATATTCGTAGAGATATTACCTTGAATTTATTTTTTTTAATATAAAACATTGGTGATTGCTACTTGGGCTTTGTATTTGACAAAAAAAAATATCATATTTTCTCTATGTTATCCTTTCTTTCTTTTTCGTAATTCCCCCTCACTTGTTTTAACTTCTCATTTTTCTCCCCGTTTGCTCTCTTTTCTTTTCTCCTTCTCAGTATATTTCTACCCCCACTGGCTTAATGTATCATTATATCCTTCTCTTTTTTTTCTTTTTACCTCATTACGCTACCTCTTTTTGCTCTTTCTTTATCTATATATCCTTCTCACACTTTCTTCATTCCGATATATTTCTATCAGTCTTCGTCACTTCTGTCAATCGGTCTTTCAACTCTTCGTACGTCTCATTTTTTCAGGTTTTCCCCATTTTTCTCAATGTACCTTATCTTTCTCTCTTCCTTTCGTCTCTCCATTACCTCCCACTTGTCTCCTCATTGCTACGCTTCATATGTACAGTCTAAATTCTACTCATAATTCTAACATTCTTTCCTCATTTTCCATCCCTTTATACATCACTCTCTTTCTTCGTAACTCTTAGCATATCCTTCATACCATCATTTCAACTATGTATGAGAATTAACAACGACAGTATATGTCTGGAAAACCGGAAGACAAAATGGCTACAATTGAAAGAGGGAAAGGAGAAAAAAGTAAAAAAACAAACAAACAATAAGTAGTGAGTGTAATGTGAAAAAAAACAAAAAAAAAAAACGACGAAAACGTCAAATATCCACGGCATTCCTCACGTGCGCAGACAGGCGCAGACGAAAACACACACACACACACACACGCACACACAGAGGCACACACACACACAGATACACAATGAAAAAATCCAAATGTGCATGTAAATAAGAAAAATGGAGAAGTATAAAGATTCAATTGCTGATATTTACTGAGGAGTGAACCGAATGATTCCCGGGGGGGGGGTCTGTCTACGAAACTCTAAAGTCGGGATGCTGAAGGGAACATCAATCATCTAAGTTACAAAGTTTTTACTTCTATTGATTCTCTCTTTCTCACTCTGTTTATATATATATATATTTATATACGCACACACACACATATATGTGTGTGTCTGTGTGTGTGTGTGTGTGTGCGTCCGTATGTGAGTGTGTGTATAAATATATATATGGTGGACTCTCCCGTCGAATTCAGCGGATGAGGGTCAAGCAGCTCAGTTCTAAGGAACTGACAGCCCAGACACCAGCACATATGATTTGATTATATTGGTGAAGGCGTTGTGCAGAACCAATCACTCGTTTTGAAGGCCGGAATACAGAGACCTGTTGTATTGCGTACCACAAAAGTCCACAAACAACCTTACGCAGCATTTTAATTCAGAGTTGTCCTTCTCCAAGACTTCTTCAAGGTTATAGAACAAAGTCTGCCCTGCTATTTACCCATAGCTGGAGGGAGAATAAGAGCATTAATATCTTTCTCAAGGATATTAGCACGTAATTCTGGAATTCGAGACGAAGGAAGAGAACTGGAAAGATAGATAGAAGAGAATAAGGAAGCAAAAAGGAAACTTCCCTCACAATCAGAAAGAGACGGATGAAATTTCTGGGACATATGAAAATATGACACTCAGCGGGCATTTCGAAATCGAAAATGTAAGGCTTCTGAGAATGAATAGAAAATAGGCCGGTAAAAGAGACCTATAACCAGGAGCGACACGGAATATGGGGTTTTGGTGAGTCACAATCAACCACATCCTCAGTGAACACAAGAAGAAGAAGAAGAAGAAGAAGCCGCCATACGGATAAAAGAAATGAATTGATGAAATGCAACGCAAATATAAAGGGTCGGAAAACAACAATGGGTCTTCTGAGTAGATTTATCAAACATATACAGAGAATCTATCGAAAGAAACATATATTTCTTACTTTGATTACAATATCTCCTATAGAATTTAGCGAAGGAGTGTGGGAAAAATGGACTAAGCATAAACTACAAAAATACAGAATGCATGGTCATCAGAATGAGGATGAGCCCGAAATGCAATTTGCAGGTTGGAAACTAAAGAATTAAGCCAACGGGGAAGTTTACATATCTGGGAAGCGTTCTGGCAGAGGACAGTAAATGCGACACTGAGATCCGTAGATATTTTGGGTTGACCAAGGACATATTCCAAAAGTTGGGGAGAGTACTGCGAGAGGGGAAGATTTCTTTGGTAATGAAGAGATGAATACTGAGCGGAACGTCCCATTCCCACAAAAGATAGAAATTTCTGGAGATCCATGATCGCCATGTCTTGATGGGATCCTGCACATAAAAGTAATATAAGAACAACATACCTACGGGACAAAAGTCTAGCCATTTAGACCGTAGCTTCGTAAATTTAGTAACATAGTAAGTACTTGACCTCAGTAGAAACCGAACGAGCAATAACCGAGAAGTACTAATAAAACGAGATATGATATATATATGATACATGGATAGTTAAACGAGAACAGTCTACTCCCGTAGATTAAATAGAGTTCAGTATGGAATTCCATGTTGGTTACTCGCGATTCAATATATATATATTGCGTGATGGTTGGTATGTTTAGGTAAATATTTAGTCACCATGTTGTTGAAGGAATCAACACTTTGAGGAGTAAATATTTATCGACTCCTGGAAAACTGACCTCACAAACACTATTGACGAACTAAATGTGATTTCCATTAAAAAAAATTTGTTAACACAAGACAATATAAAACAAACCAATAATTTCATGTATTGACAAAAAAGGAATTACACTCTCAACGCAAGAAGAAAATATATAAAGACGAGTTACATAGATAGCATTGAAACTAGAGAATGGCCGTTTGTGTGTGTGTGTGAATTTGCATTGATAAACATGTGTTTGAAACAGTTAAAAATTCAAGAGAGATAAAGAAAAAAGCACGCATGTTCTAGTGTCCACGTTTCAAATGTATGTAGACTACATCTTATAGCTGGAG